GTTACTTTCAATCAATTTAAATTTCTCACAGCTGATTTGAGTGACTTTCATAACCCTTTGCTGATCATGCATGGAAATTTAATAACTTAATCGAGTCACACACACGCCCATTAAGCTAGCCAAGTAAGTCACACACACAGACAGAAGCACACTCATGTGCTGGCATTATTAACAATTACGTCACGAGCGTGGCTCACTTTTAACCCTAGAGATAATTTAATCAGCGCTACTTCAAGTAGGTAATGTTGTCCACAATAATACTGCAATAAGAAAGGGAGCAAGAGATGAGCATGTGAATGGGCATGGGAGAATGAGTGTGAGGACGAGCAGGCAAGCCAGGCAAGTCAGGCCAGCCAGGCAGCAGGCAGTCAGCTCATGTGTGAGATTTACGCGTTCGCCTTTCACTCGAAACAACTGAAATCAAAGCGTAACAAATTGCGGGCACAGGCAACAGCAGCAGCAGCAGGAGAGGGGCAAACAACTTTCACTGCACGGATTAGCAGGCACGTGACTTTTTTCCAATGCGAAACGCTCGGCACCGAAGGAACCTTTGTTTGCCGCCTCGTCTATTGAAAGCCGATTATAGAGACGAATATTTACACTTCATTATTAACATTATGATGATGTTGCCGAAGGACAATGGTCAGCTGGTCGGCTGGTCAGCTGGCTACTTAATTATGTCAGTTTGAGCGAATTTATTAATTTTAGCTTAGCCGTGTCGTTATCGATAGCTAGATCTATTAATATGCATTGGGCCGCCTTATTAACATGTGAAGGGTGTGGCCAATTTGCATGCTACTGACACGCGTCTGCCTCGGCGCAGATCAAAGCGTGGGATGCGCTGCAAAAGTTCTGCTGGCTATGCAAATAAAAGTCAGCTTGTCAATAAATGTGTGCTTGGACAGAGGTCAATGAGTGCTACTTAATCAATGTCAACAGCGTAAAGCCTGGGAAGATCTGACTAAATGCCATGATGCATGGCTGTCAGCAAGGCAAAGCTGGGAAATGCTTATGGAGTGGTTTTTGAATATATTATAAGCAATCGTAGTGGTGTATAGAAACTTGAGATATTGATACTTAAGAGAGAGATAGATGCTGGAACTGCTTGTATAAGGAGTGAGCAGAACTAAGCAGAGCTGTGAAACAGCAGAGAGAAAGAAAGAGATTTGTATAGCTGTAGATAAATTATAATATTCATAAAAACCTAAAAAAATAGAAAATTTATATTCTTATAGATAATTGTCATACAAGAAATACGTGAAAATGAGCTGACTTAGCAGCAAGTCAATGTGCATATCAGCAGCAGCTACCTCAGTGATAAGTTGTATATAAAACTTGATTACAAATAGAAGCTAAGTTCAGTCTGCAAGTGTATGAAAATGTTAAACTAATAATCTATACTAACAACTGCATAAATAAAAATTTATAAATAAAAATTGATAAATAAATAAAAATTTATAAATAAATAAAAATTTATAAATAAATAAAAATTTACAAATAAATAAAAATTTATATATATAAATTTATAAATAAATTTAAAGTAATAAATAAATAAAAATTTATAAATAAATAAAAATTTATAAATAAATAAAGATTTATAAATAAATAAAAATTTATAGTTAAAATAATCTCAGAATTATTAACAAAATTAAGCATAATTATAAAGGAATATAACTTCAATTGGATGTGTTTTTTATGAGAGCTCTAGAAAAGGGCTTCAGAGCAGTAAATATCAGCTTTCCAGGCTCATACTGCGTCAGCCCAGTTGGTGTCTAATGATTAGCCAACTACCAAAGTAGGCGGCATTGATATAATGGCAAAGCCAGCAGCTAACAGCTGCACTGCACTGAACAGAGAGAGAGAGAGAGAGAGAGAGAGAGAGAGAGAGATAGAGATAGAGATAGAGATAGAGAGAGGGAGCTCGAGCTCAGCTGAACTCAGATCAACTCCAACTCGAACTCCAACTCCAGCTCGAATCTACTCAAACGCAACTCAACTCTTTGTCAAGCATTTTCAATTTCGTTAATGACCCAAAAGTGCCGTAAAGCAATTTATACACGGCCAGGAGGAGGGACCCAGAGCTGAGCCCAGCTCACTGACACAAGACAAATAATAGCGCAGCAGGACATTGACAACAACACCCGATGAAACGAGAGCTAGACGAGGCAGGGACGCAGACACAACAGACGGCGGCGAGTCTATGGCAACTGGTCAGTAATTGACTGCCGTTGCAGTTGCTGGTCGTTGGCTGTGCGTTGCGTTGCGTTGCGCTGGCCAAACGCCGATAATGAAGCGCAATTGTTGAACGTGGCAACAAATTTTTGGAAGCCACATACCAAGTGCAACTGCAACGAGAGGGGCTGCAATTAATCATATTCCGGGGCCAGTCCTCGAATGACTTCTTTTATGGCCACTCATAAACCATTGAGCGTCTGCGTCTACCCAACGTTATTTTCAACTAATTTAAGGTGTTGCCCCCAATGGCAGACGTAAATAAATCATTAATTTTCTTTGGCCAAACACTTGGAGACTTTTTACAAATGCATTCTGTGGCAAACGCATTTTTTCTATTTCAAATTCCTTGTCTTTTTTTAGATTTTTGGGGACCGCCTGCGGTTTTGTGGGTGTTGACACACGTTTAAGCGCTGGGAAATAGTCTGGAAACTGGGCAATGAATCACAAGATTAATGAAACGATAAGGCTTGAGCACTAGATGTCAATCTAGCAATCTGAAGAAGCCTTCACTTCATTTCACTCGCCGTCTAAGCAGCACAAACAATTAACTCAGCTCCACCTATCGATGGCACCCAGCTCCCAGCTCCATCTGACTGCCTGCTTAGTTTTCTTCGCCTTTGATATTTGATTTGCCTTTTCCTTTTTCCGACTTACGTATGTGCCGTATCCATATAGAACTTCGTTTGTGGTCATATTGCGTTTCACTTTTGCTCCACTTTCAGTTTTTGCGTCAATTTGCGTTGGGGGCGTTGTTTGCTAAAGTCAAGAAACTGGGTCACTGCTGCGGCTCGGGGGCGTACAACTGCCTGCCCCGCCTGGGTTACTGTACTTTCCGGACAACAACAACCAGAAAAAAAGAACAGAAAATAAAAATCAATAGACCCCCTCGCTCGTAATTAGCTTTTGCCTCAAACTGCATGCGAAGTTCCGTTTCAACTTGGTCAAGTGACTCATTTGGCCATACGAGAAACCCATTACTATAATACCCATTGGATTGCCTTATGCCTGGGACAGTGGCTTCATGCGTGTACTTGGATTTAGTGGAGGTAATGTGAATGCCGAATACTCTTTAAAAGGTGCATATCTTACTTCTCTATAAATATGTGCTTGATATGCCTTTAAGATGAGCAAAGTTTGCTGTGATTTCTTCAATTGAGTCTAGGCTTTACTCATTCTAAAACTATGTAAAATAAAACTATGTAAATTAGTAGAAGAACCTAGAGCATGCTTCATATCTCTTTCTGAATCTTAAAGCAGGTGAAGCCTGTGCTAAGCTGTGAATACTCCAGTTATAGCCAAGACTGAGTTTATTCTAATACTAATTTTTGGTTCAAATATTCAGGCTATCTCCTTAGGAATCTTGGAACAGGCTAAGACTTTGCTGTAAACTATGGCATTGACTTCTTTAGATAACAAGTAGACTGAGCTGAATCAAAAACTGTGTAAAGGCCAAAACTTCTTTACTTGAAGACTCTAGCATAATTGTTAAAATGTCAAATGCTAAGCTGTGTATCTTCAGTTAAGGCCTAGACTGAGCTGATTTTTAGACTATAAAAAAGGGCAAATGTTTGTTTGATAGATGTATTTAGTACAAGTGTTAGGGGTAAGGATCTGCTTAAAATTTATTGATGAGTTCTTGGAACAGGTGAAGCTGTGATGTAAGCGCTAACTTATTCAGTTAAAGTCTAGAGCTAACTCTAAAACTATATATCTTGCATATCTTCTTCAAGAATATTATTTTCACCTGACGAATTCATAATTATTATTTTAAAATATTTAATGAAAATTGTTACATAAAAAATTAATTCCATTAAACTGCCCATAATTGTTTGATTTACTTTAAATTAACCTTTAAACATGTGTTTCTCAATTAACTACAAATATTTTATCATTAATTGACTCTCAAATTGCAAGCATAATTGGCTGGCTGCCTGGCTGACTGCAATCCTTGTGCAGTGCGCGGGCAGGACACGCGACTGAAAGTGCTAACATTTGCATACCCTACAATTTCCGAGTCGCTTATCGTTGCCAAAAATCAAGCCGCACGCGAAAAGCAAAAACAAAAGTGAACACTTAACCCTATGGGCTTACCCAATGCCTGCCTTGCTGCCTTGCTGCCTGGTTGGCTGGCTGGTTCAGCCGCAGGACCCTAATTTCCAGGTCGCTTGTTGTCATGTCACGACAATTAAATATGTTCAGTGCGCTTTCGCGCGTTTTAAATTTAGATAATGCGGCAAATTAGCGACCCGAAATGTTTGCATAATTATCGTACAAACATTTTCGACTGTCCGAGTTATCAGCGAGCGCCGATCGTTTGTCACAGATGTTGCATTTTGGGCCACAATCATGCTCTAGGGGCGAGACCCTGATGACTTGAGCATTTCCCCAGTTGACTTTGTTTTTCTTTCACATTTTTGTGTGCCACTCTCACTCTGTGTGTGTGGCTTTTAAGCAGCGTAACCTTTTAATTTAACCCTTGCCGCAACTTGTGGCATGACACCACAGAAATATGCCATGCCAAAAACTGTTTTCCCTTCAAGGTGACATATTGGTTTTGCGATAAGCATCGCTAAATGCATGTGGGCGAAAGGGTTGCCCCGGCCAGCAAAGGGCTAACAGCCCGCCGCCCCGGACAGACAGCAGACAATGCCAGCTGGCAAACAAAGGTGAGATTTGTTTTACTTATAATGAAGGACAATGGCTTGAAGGTCTTGATAGAACAGTTAGGAAAGATCTTGGTTAGGCATAAGTCTTAATTGAATCAAGTTTGGTTTGCTTTTCTATACTTTTCACATAGTAAACGTAGTAAAATCAAAGCAAGGCTAGGTAAATAAACTAACTAAAAAATATTCTTTCTTAATTTTATCCACAATATCTAGCAGAATCTAAAGAGCCACGGGATGGAGGCTAGTTTGAATACAGAATACCTGAGCGCTCCACAGTTTTCTGTCTTATCAGATAAAGGTAATAATGCTACTGAATATGCAGTGCAGTATCCAGCATCTGCCGTGCAAGCCGAGATAAGTGTGGAGGGGAGGTAGGTAGCTAGAAAAGAATAAATTGCTTATTAATTCATTCTATTATACTCCAACTCCTTTAGTGGCGAAGGTCGTCAGCTCGGTGCCAATGTTTGTAAGTTGCAAGTCTTGAATGGGTATTTTTATACATTACTCTATTCCAAATTCCCACAGATCCAACTCCAGACCCGAGTAAGCAACAGAATCGTGTAGATGCATTCGGCTACTGTAGCTATGCTCCATCCCGAGCTTTTAGAGAAAATTGTGTTTCTCAAGTGTTTGGCTGTGATTCTAATGAAAACAACTGTCTAACAAACAGCAGCGAGGTAGCTGGCAGTCAGCGATATGCAGTCAAACCCAGCACTTGGTGCACGCCAGGCCCATCCGAGTTTCAATATTCAAATATTGGCAATGCTGCAAATGACCTTAGCTTGCAACGTAATACAGCTGGAACGGATGACATTTATCCAGAAGAAAGCCAAGCGGAGTTTCAATATTTAAATACAGCCAATGCTGGCAATGACAGTGTGCATCGTAATACGGCTGAATTGAGTGACTTTGATCCACAAGAGAGCCCAGAGGGCGCCTCATACTTGGAAAATCAAGCAACTGAGAGATGGTATCACAGCTTGAATACAAATTCAGATCGATTTTATGCAAGCCCTCGCCTAAGTGAGGACTTTTATCATAATGCGAATTCGCTGCAAAGCCACAATGATTACACCTCCAATTATCAATATTCATACGGCAAGGGCAATAACTTTAATCACTTCCCAAACGGAACGCTCATGGACACATTCTTCCCGAGAGGCGTGAACGAATACCCTGCCTATTTCAATGAGAACTTGTCTCTGTGCGACTATTATGAAGGTGGCAATGCGCAATGGGCTGTTGAAGAAAATTACCCATACGGAAGTGTGAACCAACCTCAGCCAGACTACGCCAAATGAATTTGTTCCAAATCAACTGGGTTTCGTTCAGTTTTTGGCTCTTTGCGAAAATTGCAAATCGATAATTATCTAGGCTGCATTTAAGACAGCTCAGAGCGTATGTAAATTTCAAAATGAATCCAAAATATAAATGAGAGAATCAATTTAATTTATTAGTTTCAGTCAAGTATTGGGAAAATGGAATTTAAGAATAAATCTCATATAAAAAGTTCTGAATTTATGAAGAATTTATTTCGAATATATTGATATAAAAATTTGTTCAAAAAGTAATTTATTTACTCATGAACAACTCTTTTGTTGGCTTTCCAAGTAATCCCTATCAGACATAAACTTTTGCCAATGTTTTTACAATACGGCAGAACAGATGTGGCTTAATGTCTTCTTCGATGCCTTTATATTTTCACTCATTGCGTATCGTCATCCTTTAATGACTATTTTCAGTTTCCGATATAACAAAATTTCACTAAAACGTAAAATCTCACTTAACATTAAATATTTTTAATTTTTCGGAACAGTCTTCACAAAGATTTTTTTGTAAAAATAATATATTTTAAGAAACAGGATTCTAAACGAATTTTCTTTTTCAGAAATTCGTTTCTGAAAAAATCACATTGTCCATGAATTTTTCATATATATAAAGGTAATATATATCTTTATCCTGAGCTTTGCATAGAAATCATTAAAAATATTACTTTTCTTAAAAAATATAAAATTATGAAAAGGAAAGTAAAGCTTAAACTAAATTTTTTTTCAGAAACAACTTTCTTGGAAAACATAAAATTACAGAAAAAAATTAAGTTTAAAAAAAATTTAGTTTTCAGAGCTAAATTTCTGAATCAGAATATTTTCCTCACATTTTTAAAATATTTTTCCAAATAATACTTTATTTAAAAAATTACGAATAATAATATATTAATTCAATAAATGAAAACCAATTTATTTTTTAGAAATAAATTGCTGAGACAGATAAAAATCACATTTTCTATGAAATTTTCAGATATTTTCATCTAAATATATTTTTTATAAAAATGTCTAACATCTTAGGCTTTGTCTAAAGATCTTCAAAAATAATATTGATTTTATTAAAATTTGAATGTATGAATATTAATATAGTCAAAACAAATAATTCCCAACCAAATTTTCCTTTTAGCAATAAATTTATTAAGACAGGAAAAACCCATTTTCGTGGTATTTCCATAACCCATTCCACATCCCAAACATTTAAGAAAACAGTTTAATTTTAATTTTATGATAATATTCATTTTTTTATAAAATTGTATTTATTTTCAAATATCTTATAAAAATGTTGTAATTCGCTTACGTTATTTCTCGTAAGCATTGGATTAATTTATTTTTTTTTTGCTGCGTACACAAAATGTCCGAAAGAAAAACAAAAATATTTTTGTAATTTTGCTAAAGTCAATAATAATCGTAAAATATGCTTAAAGTTTTTAGTTTTGTTTTTTCTTTAATTGTATCAAAATTGCTTAAAATATGAAATTTGTATTTTAATTTTTGTGTATTTTTTTGTTCATTTTGGTTCGGCGGTTTTACTGTAGTTGTTTTTGGTTTTTTCATTGACACACATTAAATGTTTATGCTTTGTTGCTTTTGCTTTTGTATATATAAAAATTGTCTGCTTAGAAACTATTTTGTACAATGTAGTTGTTGTCTTTGTTGTATTTCATTTGTTACATTTGTTGGTTCGGTATGAATATCATAATTTATAGTTTGTGTTCGATTGATTTGGGTTGGGGAATACATTTATATTTTTACTCTAGTAGAAATGCTAAAATTTGACATTTAGTTTTATATATATACTTAGTATGTAGTAAGTGGCATATGTACTTGTTATGATAGTGTGCTTAGTGTTTTTTTGACGACTGTTTAGTTGTAGACACAGATTCTAATTAGTTGAATAAATATATATATAATATATATATATTTTTATAGGTGGAAAACCTTTTTACTTTTAAATAAAAATATTGAACTGAATATGTCTTGCAGCTGCAGCTACGCCTATTTGAACCAACTTTTACAACCCGAAACCTTTTGACCTTTTGAAACTTAGGCATACAGAATGATCAACCCTTTCGTACTCTCTCCCAAAAAACTTGACTCCAAACAGTATCAATAATATTATATCACTTTCAGCAAATTGATGACAAATTTCGAAGTTCGAATTTTGAATTTTCTTAAAAATCGTTTAAATATTAAAAATATAAAATATATTTTCCTTTTGGTTAGCACTTTACAAAAAACATAAAACTCCTCTCGACTCCATCTGTTCGTCCCCAGAAAAATCACAATGCGCTTTGATTGAGCTGCCACCAAAAATTAACTGTACAATATAAGTCAGTTGTGTTTAGTCTTTGCGTCTCTTAGCCAAATCTACTCCTGCTTCGCATCTGTCACGTCTCCAACGTCAGCATCAGCATGAGCATCCTCATCTGCTGCTCCTCCAGTTGCATCCGCATCACTGGCGCCGCTACTAATCTCGAACGAGATTTGTATGACTGTCGGCCTGCGCTGTGCGGGATTGTAGCTGTAGAGCCGCAAGGCGTAGCAGAAAATCTGAGCCAACAGCTCCCAGCAGCCGAACTCCGACATGGACATGGCGCCCTGTTCGCGGCCCAACGGCACTGAAATGTTGGCGCGAAACTGTGAGCTGCCGGCGCGTTGTTGTCTTCGTTGTTGCTGTTGCTGTTGCTGTTGCTGCTGTGGCTGTTGCTGTTGTCGGGCCTCGTTTTGCCTGACATTCGTTGGGCTCGAGCCGACGCTGCCTGCTGCTTGTTGCGCACTTGCTTGTTGCCTGCTCCTGGCCAACAGTTGCGCCTGATCGGGTATAAAGTAAGCGATTGCCATCGTTTGATTTTTCTTTTGTAGTTTTTTCTAGTCTCAATAAATGTCACTTATTGCACTTATTCACTTAAGTTTCTCAAAATGTCTTTGTCACTTCTGTGAGTTTTTCGAATTTCGCCAAAATTTCGCTTGGCGCCAAAACGGAATCTTTGCCTTTTTACGTTAAATAATTTTGCCGTATACGGGGGCTGCTCTAGCGTCTGTTGCTGCCTTGTCAGAGGTTCTGCGTGGACTGACTGTAAATATCCTTGCCGCAGTCACTTTTATCAAATAGCTGCGCTGCCAGCAACGACGACGACGACGACGTCGTTCGTGCTTCCTAGGAAGCAACACGGCGCTCGCTCAACAAAATGTCACCCCCCTTGGCAAACACACACACACACACTCGCACACATTCAGTGCCAGTGGTGGAGGATGGAGTGTGTGTGCTTTGTTTATGCCAACAACCAACCAATTGAACCACCAACCACAGCCACTCACACCACAAGCCGTGGACGGTAAGCAGCGGGCGCAGTTCCCATTTGCCACCCCAGAAAAAAGTCACAGTCACGGCTGGGCTTTGGCTTTGTTACCTTTCCGCGAGAGAGTTAACTGCATGCAGCAAGAAAGAGAGCGAGAGAGAGAGAGAGAGAGAACGAGCTAGGGCACGTATTGAGAGCGCATTACGTTACGACGTAAAGTAACGTAAGAGCGTAGCTAGAGCAACTTTCGAACTAGGGGTAATCTGGCATTTGGCGTGCTCTATGGGTTTGCTAGCGTAACTTCTCAAATGAGGGGAATCTTTCGAAGTTCGAATTCATTTCGAGCTCGTTGCTTGCCTGGGAATCAACAATTGTTTGCCAATTTCCCCTAAACGTTCGAAATTGAAAAGATTGTGCTGTGGCGTTATTATTATATATAATTAATAATTATGTATATGTTCTCTAGCAATCTCCTAGTATTTTTCTATTATAGATAAGAATTCATTCATTCATTATTTCAAGGTTAAAGAAGACGCATTCAACATTTTGGCTTGCATAATGATGAGGATGGGTATATTTAACTTAGCTTATTTATAAATAATAAAATTTATAATTTTATAAATTATAAAATTAAAATAATAATGAAATATATCTAAATTTATTGTATTACAAATCTATATAGAAAGCAATTAAAATGAACATTTGATGCAGCTGAAAAAATTTGAAATAAAAATATATTTTCTTGTACATAATATCCATTTCTTACATAGTCAAAATTAGAAATATAAAAAAATATTTGTTGTCTTACGATGACAGCACAGAGCATCTCCCAATCAGTCACTCTAAACTCTATCAATTCCAGCTGCTCCTTGCTCTTCGTAAGCCTTCAACTTGGCCCGTTAGGTACACCCACTCAAGCCAACAGAAACCCGACTTTAGCCTTGAAGCAAACAGTTCCGGCTCCAGCAAACATTTGCCAACTGACCTTGAGGTCCCCCTTTATACGACACAGTGCGAGCTCATCCATTATGATAAACCACTTCCTGCTAGTTTTTGCAGTCCACACACTTAAGTAAATGGCATTTCGACTTGTTACAATTTTAAACAAAAGGCGGAAAATGTTCACGAAGACTTAATACACTTTAAGTATATATTCTATTAGATCGTAGCATAATTTCTACAAGAATGTTACCAAGTTTTTATTAATCTTAAAACTTAAGGTTAAAGGATAAAAAAATTATTTTAAATGAACTCATAATACTTTCTATAAATTCTATAAATATTCAAGTTCAACAGATTGACTCAGTTTTTTAAGATACTTTGAAGCATTTCAGATATTAAGAGGAAGATGAACATCTCCAACTCATGTTGCGCTCTACTCCACGACCAAGTCGTAGTAGCCACATCAAGAGAAAGTATATTTTGAAAATGGCAAACGAGCTTTTTGCCGCATGTTGCTTGTTGCTAGGGGCGTTCCATGTTGCAAGGTCGGTGCCAAGGCCAAGTAGCTGCTATACAAACTCGCCGTCGACTCCTCCAAAGCTGTGCTGAATTGGGTTCCAAGGACACGCCGGCCGGCTATAAGCGTCGCTCTGTGCGTGCGACCTTGACAATGAAAAGCGTTTAGGGAGCGCTCCCTATTGGGTGGGTGGGTGCGTGGGCGGCTAACAGCATTTGACACAGTTGACAGCACGTGCTTTTTATGCGGGTATTATGAGCAGCTTTCAAGGTCGCAGGATATTGATTACAGACAATTGTGCGTGCGGTGTGAAAAGCCAAAAAAAAAGAGAAGAAAACTTTTTGCTTGCAGTTGAGAAAATTGCTTTAAGGATTTGAGAGAAATGTCAATTTATGTTGGGATTTAAGAAGAAATTGATACAATCACAGCTGCAACTAGAAATTTATAAATGATTTAGTTGGGCGGATGCCTCATATATAATAGCCATGTTAAGCATAGTTATTATTGCAGGCCCATTATTTTGGCAAGAAGATGACTTAATACAAGAACACCTCTCTCTATATATAGAGATATTTACCCACATGTGCCAGCCACATCTCGGCGACTTGCAGCTTGGCTCTGGCCATGCTTATCAGCCGTAAGCAGCTGCCGCAGCTGCACAACTGCACTTGAAGCTCATTAAAAATTTGCAGCAGCCAAGTTGGCAGGTTGCATTAAATGCGCCGCACGGCATATCAAAAGCTGATGCACACACACCCACACACACAGAGAGAGAGTCTACGGCAATGAAATGCAAAAGTGCACTTTACACATTTGTGCGTAATGATTTTCCATTAACGTAAATTTGAATTAACAGCGGAGTGAAGAGCATAAACGTAATTACAAGAATGCCAATGTTTAAAACAACACGCGCCACAGCCCACCCACCCACAAAGAGACTGCTATCGAACCTGCTCGACTCAGGCATTTGATAAATGCCAATGGCATTGCCTACTGCCAACGGGGGGCGTGGCACGAGCATGATTGTCACACAAAATGTTGCGGCTGCTGACATGAGCTCCATACCAACTGCTCTTCCTTGCCCCACGCGCCCTCCAGCTCTTTTTATGCAGCCTGACTACTGTTAATGGTAATTATTTATTTTGGACAGCCGTTGTATAGACTTTTCATCATTGCCATAAACATAAAATTTTATGTTAATGATGCTGTCTTCTGCTGCTGCCGCTGCTGCTGCTGTTGCTTTTGTTATTGCTCTGTCTGTTTCGTATTGCATTTGTTGCTTTTAATGTGCTGCGCCAAGTGCGAGGCAGTGGGAGTGATAAGGTGAGAAGTGGAAACTTTGCACGCAATGTTCATTGACACTTTCAAATTTGGAAGAGTTTGAAGGAAAGTCTTAGCACAGTTTAAGGGCTGAAGAACAGCATTAATATAGCAGCGAATGCTAGAATTCACAGCAAGCAGATTGCAGCACTTCTTATAGATTAATATATAGAAATAATTTTTAACATCCATAGAC